ACTATACCTTCAATAAAGGAATGAATCCTGGCTTTAACTCATAAACTATGTGTATCAGTCTGTTAGGGATGCCATGTGCTGGGGAAACTGAGATGCCTATGTAGAACAAACACCACAGAGTCACCCCACCCCTGGGGCAAAGGAGCTGGGGGATTTCTGTACAAGTATGATCAACCATTGGCTGAGGTCCATTCCCAAGGGTGTTAATCATCCCCACTTACACTGTGCTGTGCCTGTGGACAATGGGCATGGATACCAGAGAAAACCTTCAGGCAAAGACATGCTCTGCCAGCTCTGCATAGTAACGCCTCAGGGGATCTGTCTGCTACAATGAGCCATTAGGTAATAATCATCCTACCAGTAGTTTTCAGAGCACTAGACATGCTGCTTGACAAAAGGGTTCTGGGGACAAGCAAGTGTAAGGAATGCTCAGTGGATGGTTGTCCCTCAGGGATTTTCCACTAAAACTCTATTGATGTCCTGCAGTTCAGACATCAGGCTTTTTCTAATCCTGTGATTTCCAGGCTTGCTATAGAAAGTGTTTTTCATACAATATGTACTTAACTGTTAAGGAATGAAAGGTCTCTGATACATGCTTTGAGGATTCTCAATTCTGGCTGATAGAGATGTGACTGTCAAGTAAAGATGTTTTTCATCTCTTCGCCACTGGAGCCTCTGAACAGTGTTGGGCACAGAGAAAGTTTTCAATACGTGTTTGTTGTTGCAACAGAGCCTTACTACTGTTGCAATTTCAAAAAAAAGCATCTGAAAATATGTTCAGTAAAAACATTCTCATGAAAAAAGTAACTGTTTAATCCCCAAAATGGCTGTTTCGAAAGACTTGGAAAGAAAATTCAGCTGAATATACATACATTCGTTGAAATATTGGCCAAAACATGTCTTATTCTCATGACTTTGTTCCCATTGTTTATAAGATGTGGACCTATGCTATTAGAATATTGTCTACATTGTAGGAGGTGGGGGAAACACCTCCTCCCCACTTCCATGTGAGAATGCAGATCCGGACTTAATGGTACTAATGTCCCTCTGGTCCAGCTTAGATAAAAAGAGTGTTCCAACTTCTATTTCCTCCCCCTATACTTCACCCTTCTGTTGAATGCTAAGGGTTGCAGCTGTGACCCCACGCACTGGTGAAAGGAACCAAATTAGAGGACTTCTGACAAGTTGCATCCCCTTTATCTACATGCCAGGTAGAGCTGCCTATTTGTTGTCCTCAAATATCAGCTGGGACCAGGGTAAGTCCTTGTCACTCTTTCTCACCCTTTGCCAAGACCTAAAGCTTTGCTGAGCCTGATGCAGTTGCTTCCGTTGCAACAAAACATGCATGAGAAGTGAGATCTGCAACCAAAGAGGCTTTTCTCTATAGATTGCTGCTCCAGCTGGGCATCCCCACTATTTTTTCCCAACAGTTATGAAAACAGCAGCATCACTATTTGCCAATCGTTATTACAGGGAAAAGTTTGAAACCCTAATTATCACTCATTCTTTGGAGCTGAGATGGAGGACAAGGGGCCATAAAATAATTTTAATTGCCTGCGTGATTAGCCATTTATATACCCAATAGCCTGTGTCTTAAGGAGGAATATTTCCTGGGAAGTTGCTCATCTTCCTAGAATTTGTAAAAGGCAGGAGAAGGAACATAGTAGCATTCTCTTCACACCCTACAAATGGAAATGCTGGCCTTTCTAGGTAAGAGTGAGGAGAGAGAACTGTGACCATCCAAGTTTTCTTGGATTAAGCCTTCCTTGGTCTTCCTTGAAGAATGATAATGCAGATCTTAAAAGACAGTCTGTAATAACAATCCGCCCACACCCAATAGCCCAGTGCGTGGGCTATTACAGTGCTGAGAGTGTTGTTGGCGTCACTTGGAGCCATACTGGTAGGTAACCAATGTGGGTGAAACATGAGAATGGACTGAAGTATTTCTCAGACCAGATTTATCTCGAAACGTGGTCTGTTGCCTTTCTTCGGTCTGATATTGACCTGGCTACTGCTTACTGGTGACCTTCCTTTTGTTATTTATTCATTTGTTTTCCTCATCTCTGCTTGCTGAAAACCCCTGGAGAGAAACTAAGCAGTCTTCTAATACTTTTTTTGCTGTTTGTTTTCTGTTTCTTCTGTGTTTTGGTTCAACTCAAGTTCAAGAATAATTTCTACATTTTTCTAAGAAATGGTAGCTTTCATATCTGGGATAATGATTTTGTCTATAGAATAAGAGCCACTGGCACCTTCTTAATGAGTAAGTAGGGTGGAAAAGATGAGGAGTTTGGATTCAGAAATAGCGATAGGATGGAATGCTAATTCCTTTATCATCTGAAAATTTTTTCATGACATTTTATTGATAGCCAACTGTAAATTTAAAAATAAAAAGCCCATATTCTTAATCATTATGCTATACTGCCTTTAACTAAGGCCTTCAGGATACTTCTTTCTTGAGGTTTAACTTGCTTATTTCTTTACAATCTTCTCCAGGGTTAAGCATAATAACATGGGATCCAGGGCTTAAAAGCAAACATGTATAGTACAAATCCAGCTGTGAAAACTTTCTGAATCTCTTTCATGAGTTTGCTTACCAGTCAGAATGTTGCTGGAGGTTGGTTCCCCGAGTCAGACCTGTGTTCAGGTCTGGGCCTCTTAGCTCTGGGGCCTTGGGAAAGATACTTAAACTCCCTGTGTCTTTTTTTTTTTTAATCTGGAAAAGAAAATTAGTAATACCAAATTTGTGGGGCTGTGAAATTAGCAATAAAGTGACTGCTATATCAAAACCTTACTCGATTTCTCCTCCTCTGCAGATTATCTTCTATCTCTCTTCCCCACTTCATAGCCAAACTTACTGAAAGAATTGTCTTCATGTACTCACTCCACTTCCTTTCCTATTCTTCTCCTCTTCAGCCTGCTCTGTTCTAACCATGAACTCATGTTCTTTGCTCCCAAACTTCATGTCCCCTTCTCATGTCCTTTAACTTGGTGAATGGCATGACCATCTGATCCAGTGATGCATGTATGATGCCTCTCTCTCTCTCTCTCCATATTCAACCCATTTCCAAATTCTGACTGTTTTATAGATGAATACCTCATAAATCCACCTCTTCTTTCCATCTTTATGGCCACCATCGTCTCTTGCCTGGACTCCTGCAAGAGACTGTTAGGTGGTCCCCTCTCCTCCACCCACCACCTCTCTATTCACTGTCCCCATCATGGCCAGTGCATCTCTCCTTTGTGATGGTTTTTCTTTGCTTATATAACCAGTTGGTTAATTCCTTTCTCCCCCACTAGAACATGAGCTCCGTGAGGTCAGAAATTGCATTTGACTTTGCTTAATACTCTATTCTTCATGCCTAGCACCAAGCTCAGCATATGATGAGAGCTAAGTAAATATTTGTAGAGTGAATAAAACATCTGCCACATAATATGTACTCCTTAAATGGGAGTCCCCATTGCTTTCATTGTCCTTGTCATAATTATCATTACTGTGTGATTTTTTTCTTTTTTTTTTTTTTTACAGAACTACTCTTTCCCCTTCAGATTATAGCTAACTAAACTTTGGTGTCTTTAAATATGCTTAGCCTAGGGAATTTCTCTGAACACTTTGCACTGGACACTAACACAATCAGAACTTTTTGTTGCTCGAACACAGAGGCAAAAATATATTAGAATTTCAGAGAATAGGTTTGTCTCCCTGAAAAGAGGTCCTTTCACAGTGACCTCCTTTCCTCTCTTGTAAATAATGTGTATTATTACCCAATACTGCATAAAAAGTAACCCCCAAATTGGACAGCTTTTAAAAACAAACATCTTACAGTTTCTGTGTGTCAGGAATCGGGGGTGTGGGGGGCAGTATGGCTGGGTCCTCTGGATCAGGGTCTCTCACACGCTTCTGTTGAGTTATGTCAAGGCTCAACGTGGGGGAGGACCTGCTTCCACGCTCATTCATGTGGCTGCTGGCAGGCCTCAGGTTCTCGCTGGCTGTTGGCTGGAGACGTCAAGTCTTGGCCACATGGGCTGCCCTCTATGGCTTCTCACAGCTTTCCCCAGGGGGCTCTGAGAGACAGGGAGAGATGGCGAGCAAGGAGAGAGCCACAGTCAATCGATGACTTAATCTCAGGAGTGCCATCATTTTGATGGTATTCCCTTTGTTAGAAGCATGTCACTGGATCCATCCCACACTCAAGGAGAGAGAATTACACAAGAAGCTGCCTAGTACAAGGGGTGGCTTTGTTCTCTCCAGGCAAGAACATGGCCTTCACTTGAATCTTTGAATACTTTTCTCCTTTGGGAATCATGAGTAGCATGCCCACTGGGGACTCAATGCTTTGCTACATTCCTCTTTCAAAAAAAGGAAGAAAGAGCAGAACAGGGGGATGGGGCGGGTTCTGCTAAAAATAGCTCCTAATATAATAACAATTGTAGTTGTCACCACACGTTGTGGATTAACACTTAATCATGGAGAGGATCCCAATTACTCTTGTTGGCTTGTCTGAGCATCAGTTTCCTGATGACTTACTTTATAGCTTCTTAATGAATATATTAAAAATAGAACTCTAGAGGTAATAGTTACAAAAGGTGTATATTTAGATCTTGGGCTTCTTGCCCTCCCTGCACCGCATCCCCAACTTTGCACAGAGGTTTTAGTGCTAATTTGAGATCATTCTGAAATTCCACCTACTTTATCTTAATGTACATATATCCAATATTTTCCTTCTAATTTTGATACAAATCTCTCGGCAACATTTAACCACTTCCTAATTAACTGAATTATCTGTAATTCATCACACATTTTCTTACACCATATGCCATAAGAGGAAACAGGGAGTAACCTGTATTTAAAAGAGATGCGTGGACAATCCTTGGAAAATTAATGGATATAGGTGGCATAATTCTAAGCAGAGCTGTGAATGCCGAATTTTGTAGAGGAAAAATTTAAAAATAGACCTGCAGTTATATGACCAATATCTCCACCTTTCGTTTCCTTTGTGCAGATTGTCTCCCAGAGAAAGCTGTCCAAATCCTTGTTGAAGCACGGGAATACTGCGGGGAAGTCCTCCATCACGGTAAGCTGGCTCTCGGCAGCAGTCGCCCAGGCGCTGGGTGGAGCCGGGCGGGGCAGCCGGACTTGCGGGAAGCACGCCCTGTGGCTATTGGGGGTTGATGCCACAACTGCTCAACTGTCTGAGCCACCTCTTTCTTTTTCTTCTTTCTCCATTCTGCCAAGTATCTTTTGAGCCTTCACCCCTAGGAAAAAGGGGTAAAAGAAAAAGGATCTGAAAGCAAAGCCATTTGCTTTTACTAGCACTTCTGCAATTACAATATACATTTTAGTGGGGGACAGAGACGGAGTCGTTGAGTTCAGTAACTCCAAGTAAGCTCATGGTCCAAGGAAGGATGTGGAATTGTGTGGGGTTTTCAAATTATCAAAACTACCTATTGCTGCCTCTCATTTTTCTGAGGATTAAAAATTTGCTCTAATCACATTTAACCTAAGGTTTGATTTTGTGAGGGCCAGAGAGCCCAGCATTTAACTCTCTCCTTTAGTGTAATAGTTTGGAGCTATGCTGTCCCATTTGGTAGTCACTAGCCACATGTGATTATTTAAGCTTAAATAAAATTATCTCAAATGAAATAAAAGGAGATACTCATTGCTTAGTCACACAAGTCACATATGAAGTACTCAATAGCTACTAATGTGGCAGCTACTATTTTGGACAGCATATATTATAGAATTTTATACGATTTCATGAATGTTCTATGGGCAATGAGGGAAGTACTTCTAAATAAAATCTTAGATTTTCCTATATTTCAAACTTTGATGTCTTGTATTAGAGCCTTTGAGAAAGGTAGCGAAAGTAGTCTAACCAGTTCGCTGTTTGGAAAAAAAGATAAATAAATAAATGAAAGGTACAGAAAGGACCAGGAGAATCTAAATTGCTAGTGAGACAATTTGCCAGGAAGCAAATGTCCTGAGTTCCTTCGAACACTTCTTTTTAACTTGACAGTGACTGATTTTTTTTAATGTAAGATACTTTCTGAAGGAAAACTTCAAAAGAATTCCTACTACTGAAAGTTGCGACCCTTCTTACAATAACTTACCCAGATTTGTTGCTTAAATATCTGAAATGATGCAGTCATGTCAAAGCTTTTTCTTGACTGCCATGTTTAATCATGAACAAATGGTTCAAATGGCTTGAAGGCCCCATGGGGGCTTCAAAAAGCCATGGACCCAAAGGCTCATTCACTAACCCCCAAAACCCAGAGAAGCCTTGGGTGGCAGGCCTAGGGGTCAGATTTGCCATGCTGCTTTCTCACAGGAACAGAAACTCATCTTGCCGCCTTTTCTCTAAAACATCTCGGGGATTTCCTTCCCACACATCCCGCAGAAACTCTATCTCCTTAATTTTAAATATTTCAATACTCCTCTTAAACTTGAGTCTTTGGATCAAAACAATGATTCTATTCGCTTTTGGAAAACACTTGAAAATATGTCCAAATTTTTCTTTCATCATCTTTCCAAAGGTGTCTGTGACCACAAAGCTGTTGAAGACCACTGCTCAAGTGGAGTGTACAAGGCATTAAGGTGGTTAGGTGCAAAAGAGAACCAAATGAAAAATCTAAATAGGATGATTTCTGCTTTACCAAGAAGTTCTTGAGTTTTTACTGTTTATCTGGGCTCATGTTTCCTACTTCTTGGGTGCTCACAGGTTTGGGGGTGGATTTTACTCATTAGGCAAATTTTGGCTTTAATATTAGGTGTAAAATAAAATTTTCCAGAGGCTACCTTTGTGGATCCAATTCATAATGGAAAGGTTGAGTTCAGATGGAATGGAGATATGATTGAATAGAAGGTCAGTGTCTCGACATAAGCAATTTGATAAGGGTATCCACATGCTACCATCCCTGAATGCATGGTGAAGTCCTAAACATTATTTATAAATGGTTGAACCTATCTGCAACTAGACGGGTCCCTAGATTTTTGTTGTTACTGCTTTTTTTCCTAAGTTTTTCCACCAATTTCTGCTCCAAGGCTTTGAGAGTCACTGACTATTAAATATTGGAATGTAACATTATGAAAGAAATTCTTAAGTAATACTGTCTTTTCACTTATACCAAAAACATTGTCAGGTATTCTGTTCTTGAGAGTTAAGGACTTAGATCTCTCTCTCTCTCTCCCCCCCCCCCCGCCCCTTCCTCTCCCCCTCCCCCCACCTCACTCTCCCCCTCTCCTGCCTACATCTCAGAAAGCCCAAAGAGAGTCTTTTTTGAAAAATAGAAATTAGAACACTTTTTTGATGGCCAAATAATCATTGGTCTGGAAAAAACTAGGGACTGGTTTACTTTCCCATGCCATGTTGGTCTGACTCAAAGCAATGGAGAAATGTTACTGCTTCTCCTTATTTGCAACTTTCCAAAGGAAAAATGTGTGTGTGTAATTATTTATGGGCATGCCATCCAATGCTGTATGACCTATAAAGAAAGAAACTCTTCCTGACTGCTGCCCCATCTCTTTTGTTCTCACACTCAGCATAAATGAAACCTAGCTATCTACTGCTGTCTAGTCCAGAGAGTTGCCTTGAGCATCTCAAAGTGCCCTGCCATGTTCACTAACATTGTAGAAAACTCTTTTCCCAGCATCAGGTTTTGTTGATTTTTGAACCAAGTATGAGCAAAATTTGTTCGTGAGTCCCTGGGCTGAGTGGTCCAACCGTTACTGTGGCTGATGCATGCCTTTTCCTTCAGGTGATTGCTGAAGAATTATCTGGCAATGACGACTATGTTGAACTTGCATTCAACGCACGGAAATTGGATGACAAGGTAAAGTGTTTGACATTAACCTTATTGAAGGAAGTAATAAAGCCAGCACACAAAGTTTAATCAGATTTTCCCCTACAGCTATGTTTTCCCTTTCAATCCACATTATTAAAAAATCAAAGATTTCAGGGAGATCTGAAAAGTAAGATTTTCCCCAAATTGTGAATTCATTAAGGAGATGAGGGAGAGAACTATAATTAATACAGGACATTTTTATTACACCAACACTTCATTTTCTTCCCAAATGCCACAGGTCAGATGTGCATGGGCAAATATGATTTAACCCCATTGCTAGGGACATTTTAAAGGAAAAGGGAAGATGTGAAAGGGAAGAAAGGTGACATTTATTAAGCACCTATATTTGCCAGGGTTAAAAACTTTTCATGCATTATCATATTTATTCATTGTTATAACTCCCATGCAACAGGCATTATTAACACTGTTTTGCAGATGAGGAAACAGATTTAAAGATGAGGTAACTTGTCTAAGGTCACTTGTGTTAGTCTAGATAATCCAAGACAGGAGTAAATACAGAAGGATTTTATTAGGAGACATGCCTGTGTAGGGAACATAGGGAGGAAGTCTGGAGGAGCTGTCAGCCCACAAAGCAAGTCTGATGAGTAAAGGAGAGAGGGGAAGAAGGGTGGGTGGCCGTGTCATGGAATGCCATGCCATCTAGAAGATTCAGCAAGGCATGAAGGAGTCCTGGGGCCAAAACTGGCTGCCAAGTTCAGGAGTCTTCACCTGAAAGTTATCCTGGAATTAAGGATGGATGGAGTGTTATGAGAAAAAGGAATGCTTCAGACTTCAGGAACTAATCATTTTCAAAAGGCCAAGTTCTAATTGCAGTCATATGCGTTTTACCGAGTGTAACTGTTGAACCAAGCTCTTCACTTATCTGTCCTGTTCCTTATTTAATTGCTACATGAGACAAGTTAATCTTAAGATAAATAAGAACAGTTATGACTTTAAAAAAAAACAGTTAAGACTTTGTGGAACTGAAAAACAATTCCATCACAACAAGGCTTTTGGGGGAAGTAACCACATAGCTCAAAATTTGTTCCCAAGTATTTGGTATGAGGTTTAAAATCACAAACCTCTAGGGGACCATAAGAACTAGACCCTTAAGATCAGTAAGGTTTACTACATACTGTACATCTAGTTTGTGGAGTTAGCCCTTGGCCTCCTCGACTGCACATGCAGTCACTGGCTGGGAACAGCCCATGGGACGCCGGGTCTTGGTGCAAGTTCAGAGTTGGATTTGCGAGCAGCTTAGCTGGGGCCCTTGGTCAGTTGCGCCCCCTGTAACCCCCTGCAAAGCATGTTCCCATGGTCACCACATCCTGTGAATAAGTGGTTCAATTGGTATTTCGGCCCCATGTCTGTCTAACTCCCAGCTGTATTCTTTCCATTATATCTCATATCTTCCACCCAGTCACAGCCTATGTTAGTCTTGTGTATACAGAAAAAGTTCTGCAGCCTCCATTTCTTTGAAAAAGAAAAAAGGGGGATGTCCTCACCATATATTTATGATTTCCCTTCAACCATATCTTTAATCAGAAGGCACATCACATTAATAACTGTATTCACGAAGGACTCCATTTCCCTAGAGTACACCCAGAGAAGAGGGCGTTTGGGGATGTGGCACCACTTTTTCAAACAATTGCTTACAGGCATTAGGCTGAAAAAGGTAAAACAGCACCTAAAGTAATTTCCTAAAGTCTTAAGCAGTCACTTATATCCCAACATATCTCATTCACTCTCACCTACAAAAATACTCAGCCCATTTCTGCATTCATTCATTTAGTCTTTCATTTGTTCATTTATTCACTTATTTGTCAGTCATTTACCAAACCTTTGTTGTGTGCTTGTTATGCACCAGTGGATGGGAAAAGAACATACTTTAAATCACAGTCACACCACAACCTGCAATTCACCATCTAAGTGAAATATAACTATAAACAATAAATGATATAATAATACTACAGCCATTATAGCATGATAAGTGATGTGTAACCTGAGTGTCCAGAAAAGGGTAATTCATTCTGCCTGGGGACACCAGGAAAGAGTTTTTCCTTCTAAATGAATTATATTTGAATTTTTTAGTGTCCTGAGTAGATTGCGTGAAACTTTCACAAACTGCTGCCTTTTGACATTTCCATGAGCTTGGGGCTGGGAGCTGCAGTGCGCATTGATTTCAGTCGGGTGTACGCTTTTAACCTTCACTTCCTTGGGACAATTATGCTCTTTCTCCCCATCACATCTCCGGGTTTCAGAATAATTCACCAAACTCTTTGTAGTGTCTTTTCTGGTGCCAGTATAAGCCATTGGGTCAGTGTGTCGCAATGTTAAGCCACTCATTAAATGGCTTAAAAATGCCTTCTATCTTCTTAGTATTCTCTTAATTACCACTAATTTGTCCTCTGACTAATGTCACAGTAATGAGACTTTGGGGTTTGTCAGTGGGCCCACTGTCTCGAAGGGGTTTGAACAGTTTCCCTTCATTCCAATGAGCACTGCTCACAAAACTGAAAGAGCCCCCATATAGCATGTAAGGTGGTTCTAGATGGCCATTCCCCCCTTGACTGTGCTGATTGCCCAGGGCGCTGGTCACCACTGAGCCTCAATGCCCTAGTGCTGCAGACCCCCGCTCCTTTATCAGGAGCTGGTATCTTGCCCAGACTCCTCAGTATCCAGAGAGGAGCAGACCCTGTTCAGAACAAAGCAGAGGCCACTGCTTCAGTTTGGACTAGAAGGTGAATGGTCTCAGACAGGAGAACAAGGTGTAGAACTTAAGAAACAAGAGGATACCGTGAAGATTATCTCATAGGGCCTCTTCAGGAAATGAAGGCTCTGATTGTTTTGATAACTTGCCCAAAGACACTACTACTGCACAGGTTATCTATTGCTGCATAACAAACCACCTCAAAACCCAGTGACTTAAATGAACATCCCCTTTTATTATATGTCATCATTTTGGAGGGCAGAAATTCAGGCAGGGTTCATCTGAGCAATACTTCTGCTCCTAATGATGCTGACAGAAGTTACTCATAATACTCAGCTTGTGGAGGGGCTTGTCTGGAGAGCGCACTCTAGGTTTGCTCACATGCCTGGCACATGGGATGGCATATGAAAGACTAGGCTCAGCTGTTTGATTCAGCCAGAGTGCCTACATGGTGGTCTTTGGTTAGTCATGCTTCCTGCACGGTGGCAGGCTTTTCCTAGAGAGAGCATCCAGGAGAACCAGGCGGGAGCTGTGTGGCCTTTTCTGACGTGGCCTTGGAAGTCACGCATCATTGCTTGTGCTTCATTCTGTTGGTTACAAGAGGTCCGTGAGGCCAACCCAGAGTTGAGGAGCTAGGCGTGGGCGCCAAGCCTTGATGGGGAGCAGCGCAGTCATAGTGTAGAAAAGCATGTGGACAGGGGACATGGTGGTAGCGATCTTTGGAACATGCAATCTGCCCCAGTGTTTTTGTCATCAAGCTAGAATAATATAATACAGTTACATCGCATCACAGCTGGAAAGTAGTTCCCAGGGGTTCTCAAGGAGAACCTCTTTCTAGCTTTTAGCATTAAATGATGTTCTAGCTAGCTACATGTTAGCAGTTGAACCTATCATAGCTATTAATTGAGAAAATATATCATGACTAAAAGCCACTGAAATAATTAAAGCTCTTAATTTTAAAAATTTGGTTATAAGTATCATGAGAGCAACTAGATCCTAGGAACATTTGAAAAATTGCATTATGAATATGTGGGGAAAATAATGCTATATTCATGGTCTATATTTTAACTTGTCTTTCCAATGTTGGTGAGCAGACCACCTACCTGAAATGGAAATCCAGAATCCTTAAAATCCAAGAGGTAGTCTTCAATGAGAGGTACAGGTACAATAGATTAAGTTTGCAAGAAATAACTTAGTGTTTATCCAGTAGCACTGCAGGTCATTTAGTGAAAAGATGGGCTTTCTAACTTTTAAAGCACATTCATCACATTAACAGCTAATTAGTAGTTAATCTAACAAGTAGGTTAGTAAGTAGTCTCTTTGGGACATTTAAGCCAACAGGGTACTATTCTTTCTCCCCTTTCCTGAGAAAGTATTCATATGGGTGTGCTGGAACTGATTCTCCCACTGGTGGCCTCCACATCTGTAATAGCGATCGTTATAAACTGCACTTTTAGTGTTCCCATTATACAAGTTTGGTGGAGTGCTGTATAAGCAAACCAATCGGTCTCTAAAGCCAAGGTTAGCAAACGTTCTATAAAGGGCCAGATGGTAAATATTTTAGACTTTGCAGGCCATATGGTCTCTGTCCCAAGTACTCAGCTCTGCCTTGGAAGCATGAAGACAAACATAAGCAATCTGTAAATGTATGTGCTTAGCAATGTTCCAATAAAACTTTATTCACAAGAACAGGCAGTGGGTTGGATTTGGGCCACGCACCATAGTTTGCTGATCTCTGTTCTAAAGCAATGTTACATCGGTGCCTGCTGGGCTATGGTTTTACTGTGTTCAGGTGTGCCTGCCTGAAAACTAATCCAGCCACTGTTAATGATAGCAAATTATAACTAATGAGCATCTACAGTGTACCAGGTGTCAGGGGTCTAACCTGCATCCTCTCCAAAATTCATAGCCATATTCTGAAAGATGGGTATTATTATTTCCACTTTACAGATGAGGTCTAGTGAGGCAAATTAAACAGTTTGCCCAAACTCACAAGGCTAGGAAGCTATAGAGTCTGGATATGACTCCAAATCTTTCAGACAATCTTTTATAGTACTAATATTCTATTTCCAAGATCACTGTCCTAGAAGTACACTGCTTCCTTTTCTATTCCAAACTCCAGCTTGTGCCTGATTGCCCTCTCACTTAACTAAATATCTTTCATTCTGGACTAAAAAGGCAGAGTATTAAGGCATGCAAGCTATTAAAAAATTTCACCATAACAAAACCGGTAAAATATCTATATAATTAATCGTATTGCACTAAACTGTCCCAAGGCTCATCTTAGTGCTGATAGTCAGGTAAAGAAGGCTGAAAATTCCAGATTGTGATCATATATTATACACATATAATTATATGCAGAACTGTTGTTTTTAAGCTATAGATGTCTTAGTGTATACTTAAGATATTTTTGAGCTCCTTATGAGTTGTTTTATTTCCAGAAACTAGATGCCTTCTTAGTAAGGTTCCCTGATATATGCATAGAGCTTTACAATGTGTCCTCATGCATTCTCTCTTTTATTGAAAATAATCATAGCAGCAACACTTTTTGATGTTTACCATGTGCCAGGACTGAACTCAACACTTTATGTGCATCAACTTCTCTAATTCTTCCACGTAGCAATGAGGCCAAAGGTGATACCCTTCCATTTATGGATAAGGAAACTGAGACTTGGAGAAGTAAATTACCATGCTCCAGGGCATCCAGATTGTATATGGTGGAGTCGGAACTTTAAAGCAGTTCTGAAGCCAGTGCGCTGCATGTTAGATTGCATTTCTTGAGAGCAGAGACTAGATCCAACCTGTCTTTCCGTAATGTGTCCGCCTGTGACAACAACTCTGTGCTAGCCCTAAGTAGTGTTTTAAGAGAACATGACATAAAATAGAAAAAACATTGCAATGTATTACCCAGAGAAAAAATAAGGCACTAAAGTGGACATAGAATATGATTACAAATATGTTTTTAAAAAGGAAGATAATTATGTCTTGATTTTAGGTAAAATGTTTACCAAAATGTTATCGATAGTCATAGAATTATGGGTACGATTGAGCTATTTTTTTCCTTCTTTCTATTTTTTCATCTTTCTATTTTTCTCTATTTCCTGTTTTTAAATTAAAATGACAGCATTTTTAAATTATCAAAAGGAAAAAAATCGATAGAGTTCTTCCAACAGGGACAGCAACTTTTAAGAACAATTCGCAAACACATTCCCTGAGGAATCAACAGTCTAAATAGGACTCAAGGCCTGAAACTCTTGGAAAAGAAGCCCAAGGGCATCTAGGAACAAGCTAATGTGACCCATGTCCATCAGGGAAGGGAAAGGAGAAGGAGGTTCCAATTTCCTTATGATGTGTGTTGGCACAGAAATAGGCTCCAGGAGAGAATGTCTTGAGTAAATGTATGGAGGTGGGAATCAGCTAGCTGTGTGTCTGGGAGGAAAATGACCCATTTTGGTGGGGAGGTAAGATCTGCAGGGCAGACTTATTAATTAAAGCAACCCTTGAGGGTTCTTGACAAGATTAAGGCTGTGGTAAACAGGCATCTTTAGAAATAGAATGGAAGGGTATTTTCCATACTGTGGATGTTGTGAATTTTGGTGTTTAGTTCTTGGTTGGGTAAGGAGGAAAGCCAAAGGAAAAATAATTATTCCAATTTCCCATCCCTTCTCTTTTTAGGTATCCTACAAAGCTTCTAGTATTGATATTCTTCACTACAGAGCCAGTATTATTTTCCTGTTCAAAATCCTTCTGTGGTTTTACGTTGCCTCTCAAGGCAAATGCAAAGACTTCCGATGAGTATTTAGAGCCCTTCACATCATGGAGCTGGCTTTGTCAGCCTTGCCTCCAATTCCTCCCTTACACAGCCTGAGGCTGCAGTGGAACCAAGCTACTTGGTGTGCCTGCTCTGTTTACTCTTCACACCTTCACTCAGTCTGTTTCCTCCTGACAGATATCCTTCCTCAAACTATGGTTTCCAGTCAAAATCCACCAACTTCCCGTGTTCTCTGTTATTATTCATTCATGCATTCTTACTTAGCCCTCAGATATGTTTATTTGTGTACTTGACTTACCACAGAACTAGATGGTTCTTTGGAGAGCTGAGAAGAGGTTTTAGCTTTCTTAACAGTCTAACGTCAATCATGAAGGCTGTATGATGAGTATTTTTCCTGAGAGTATTTTGTTGAGTTGAAGCCTATGATGGCTATGGCTTTATTCTCCTTTGCTGCAGTCTAGATTGCGGCGGGGAGCAGATAACCTGCCGAAATACATAAGAGTGTCATAAGTAAGGCTATTGCTCAGAGAACTTCCTATACCAGGTGTTCATGTCATTCATTCATTTATTTATCTATTGGTTCATTCATTCAATAAGCACTATGTACCACTCAAAGCCAGACACTATGGAACATGCTGGAGAAAGGATAGAAATATAAAGGAAAATAAGACATTGTTCCTCTTCTCTGAGAGTTTACAATCTATTGGAGTATTAAAAAGTTTCAGAAGAAGGATACGAATTAGGTCTGCTTCCAGTAGTAAAATACCTGTTTGTTTTACATTATTCTCCCACTGAAAATAACTATAAACACTGGATAAGACACAAGAAACATTTTTTTGAGCGTCCTAAGGCAGCCAAGATTTGATGGGCCAAGAAAAACTTGAGAGAAGAAAAATCCATTGAGGTGAATCAGACATCCTATTCAGATTTTCCACTCAAGGCAATTCCTCAAGGCTGATTAGTAAAACAACTTGGATGTGGAAGCTGAGAAGCCTAGCAGGAATAGCTAGTAAGAAATAGAGAAACTGGGCAAAGGTTCTGGTAGTCTCATGGAACTGGGGAAGCAACCAATACTGAAGTTCGGGGCTACTAAGAGAGCCGTGGCTAAAGCTTTGTAGGTGCTTCAGAGAAAAGAAGTAATCCAGCAGTCTGAGTGACATCTCTGAAGGCATTCACTAATAAGCAAGTAGCACAGAGAGAAACTGAACAAAAAGCTAGAACCAAAAGATCATGGAGATACACAACCTTTGAGGGTCTCACAAATAAAAATTGGCATCAAGGGCTGGTCAAGGAGGAATAGCTCTCATAGACACCCAGTCTTTTAATTGGAGCCCTTTAAGGGCCATACCCAAGCAATAGAGGAATCGGAAATAGATTGGGCCTTTGCCAGAAGCTAAAGACTCATCTAAAGGCTTTATAATCCTTTTTACACAGTGCCTAGTATTCAAAAGTTAACAAGCATACCAAGAGGCAAAACTAAGAAACAGATCATAGAGACAGACCCATAGGTGATCAAGATATTGTAGACATCAGGCATGGGCTTTACAGTAATTATAATTAACATGTTTAAGGCAGCAGCTACATTGCTTCTCAAAGAACTGGCATTTGGATTGATCTTTGAAGAATACCTTGATCTTAACCAAGTACTTCCTTCTCAAAGGATGTGGAGTTCAGAACAGTTTATTCTAGCCAAGGTTGGGTCACAGGATGATGAATACAATAGGGAAAGATCAAATCCAGAGGTGTTTGATCCAGGGCTGAACTAGATGTATTTGTGCAGAGGAAGAGAAACAACTCACTTTTGTTTATGTATCTGTTTTAGGATTTCTTCAGTAAATCTGACCCATTTCTGGAAATTTTTCGTATGAATGATGATGCAACTCAGCAGCTTGTACACCGAACTGAGGTAAGAAGAGTCATCTTCAGCTATGCCATCTCATCTCTTAAGATAATAAATTGACCTGTTTTGAGAAATCCCTTATATTCCTTAATGTCTGCAGCTATACACTCAGGCATGGATTCCTCACTGTTCTCAAGAGGACTCTTTAGTCTCGATTTAGATATTAGAAGACCCTTTCTCACCCAAATTTTTCATTATTGACCTTCAATGCAAATAGCCAGCAACTTATTAATAATAATAAAAAATATATAAACATTTAATGAAGCTGACTAGGTGCCAAGCAAGGTACTAGGTGATTTTATATCCATTATTTTATCTACTTCTCACAACAATCCCTTGACATGCTTATTATCACCCCCATTTTGCAGTTGAATAGACTGAACTTTTGGGAGGTCAGGTCACTTTCCTGGTCTCACAGTTAATAAGGGGTACAGCTGGAGTTTGAATTGAGTTTGTTTGACCCTGGGCTTCACTGTAATTTGGAAAGGCAACCCGCCTCCTCAGGGAAAGTTCATACACTGGACTGATGTCCAGCCTATCCCATGGACAACTGCCCTGCCTCAGCAGCCACTTGGTCCAGCTGCATCCCCCTCTCGCTCCCCCCGCTTTCTCCATGTGACTCTAGGCCTTATGCTTCACTATCCAAACCCCCACAACCACTACTATACATCTCTGAATAACCAACGCAATCTCTACTTTTTGCTTTATTTATTTATTTTCTTTATAAGCAAGTCCAAGAGAGATTCTGTGGGAGTGAGAAGGAGTAGGTGGGGTAATTTTGATGTGTGGCTTGGAGAAGACTCTATGGTGCTTACCCGTGGTAGGGTAAAGGAAAAAGAAACTCTCATGACTCATAGGATGGTAGTGGGGGTGCCATGTTCCCAGTCCCCCACACTGGAAATCCAGATCCATTTTCCTGAAGTGACAGAGTTTCAGGGAACATTAGGGAAACAATATGTCATACTTAAAGTAGACAAGAATTAAATAGTCTTGAATGGGCTAGTCTGTGGATATCATTTAGGGCATAGTTGGCATTTAATAAAATGCGTTTAATAAAATAATGAATACATAAATGGAGTTGAGTATAGATAGCATGTCCACTACATGTTATAGCACAATGTGATTCTCTGGAACTTAATCCCTGGGAAATAGATGGGGGTCCAACTGGGACAGTCTTAACCACCACTGAATAGAATCTTTTCACACCTAAAGATTCCTGGTAGGACAGGCTTTTTAAGGAGAAGTAAATAAACTTTGGAAAAGATCAGAAGTGGTATCCACTCAAACTTTTACTACAGTCAATGAATGGAGGCTTTCATGTGCAGGGAGAACAGAGATGGATGGTGTATTATTGGATTTCTCTCACAACATCCTTCTCTCCTTTGCTCCTGGCAGCATTTCTCTTCTCATCATTAATATTGGTAAATTCTCCTATCCCAAGAATCTCTAGAACTTCTCCCCTTTACCTCATTACTGAGGGGCTTCTAGAGTCTCACAAGAAATGAGATTGTAAACTTTTCCAGTGAGCCAAGCAACATAACACTGATTTTTCTTCGTGGGCATGTACACGCCCCATTTTAATTACAGAGAAAATTTCTAGTTGAAATTTTGGTTTGCTACTGAGTTTTTCAAAACTGTTGTAACAAAACATCTCTACTTCTTAGTATTTTCATAGAAAGGTGAAAATTTTGAACTAACCCAGATAACTTTATTTAATTTTTCTTTTCACTATCACCTTGATCATACCAAGACAAAGTCATACAGGAAAATTATTTTTCCACATTAGTGAATTAAAAGAAATTTAATAATGAGCCCATGATAAGGAATAATTGTAATAATGAATAATTCATAGTTACATTAAGGAATCCAGTAGAAGAGAAAATCACTTATAAAGTAGCTATGTTATTTGGATAGAGAATTTTTTTTTTTTTTACAATGCTAAGACTTCTGCTAACCAAAAACTTCATAGGAATAAAAATCAGTGTGACAGAACTTCATTTGAAGTTCATTTGTATGTCCCCTTGAGCAGTGGTTACACACATCAGAATCACCTAAGGGTGCCCACCCTCCAGAGTTCCTGTCCCTAGGTCTGGGTGGAACCTAGAAATTTGCATTTTAAACAAGTTCTCAAGTGATACTGCTCCTGCCGATGCAGGAATCACACTTGGGGAACCCCTGGGCTGGAGTATACAGTACAGTCTTAGGCACAGAGAGATCCGTCCTACAACAAATTGAATTATTTGAATCATAGTGATGACAGGATCAGACTTGATTCAGGACTCTGAAGCAGTATTTAGCCAAGTTCGTGATTAGTAAGCTGCCTTTAAAAGAGTTCCTCTGTACTATAGACTTAGTTTGTGACACTGGAGATCTGCCTTGTGTCTATCTTCCTTAGGATAGGTAGTATAAGTATCTCCTGGAATCTTTCTTTTCAAAACTTCTCTTCTGATTTGCAGTCTGACCTAACTCAAGGTCATGGGTTACCAAAGACCATTCAGTTCTTCAGCAGTAGGGTTGTCCTGCCACACCCCCACACCCACCAATAGTCTTGGCCTGTGCTGACCTCAGGAGAAGAGGATTTATGCTAAAGGACTGACAGTCCTACAGAACAGGGGATCTTTTATCAGAAGCCAGGGGCAGCCCCACCTTATTGATATAGAATGGCTCATCCCCAGTATGCACATACTGGACAGTATTACTGTCATTATTCTTGAAACAGCCAGGCCAGTGATCACAGGAATTCTGCCCCTAATGACTCACTTGAGTGGACACCCTTACAAGATTTACTACTCCAGGTTTTTATTAAGGCACCTGTTCCAGAAACTGTCCTTTTCCTAAGTGCCACAGTGCTTCTCAAGCAGTTTTTATGTTGCAATGTGAAAATGACATGCATTTCATCCTCCTCAACTATCCCCTTCTTTCTTTCTCTCAGGTGGTGATGAATAACTTAAGCCCAGCCTGGAAGTCATTCAAAGTATCAGTAAATTCCCTCTGCAGCGGCGATCCAGACCGCCGGCTAAAGGTCAGGAATCTGTGCCTGAGAAATGAAATATTTATGTATTTAATCCTCTTCTTTCTCCTTAAGTGAATGTTGGCAAATCCAAAATTTTCTCTACCATTTCACAAATCCCTTAGCATCTTTTTTTGGAAAAAACAGGGGTTCTTTTTTCTGCTACAGCCATTGACGCTCATGAGCTAGCCCAAGATCAATCCCAATTTTGTTACATCAAGAGGCAAATCTTACGGCTTCTCAGAGAAAAATTGTGGCAATAACTTCAGGGTATAATGGGGAGTTATTAAAAACACAAATATTGCTGTATTGATTATCTATTGTTGCATAACAGACTACTCCAAAATTTAGTAATTTAAAGTAATAACCATTTATTTAGCTTAAAATTCTATGCTTTGGCAAGTTGAGCTCCCCTAAGAGGTTTTTCTCTTGGTCTTGCTTAGACTTTCTCACATTGGCAGACAACTGCACATGAGCTGGCTGTCGTCTAGAATGATTGGGGTGGTTGGGCCATATGTCTCTCAGCATCTCGCAGGCTAGCTTGGCCTTATACACAGAGCAGCCTTGGGGTTCCAAGAAGACCAAGAGCAGAAGCTGTGAGGTCTTTTGAGGTCTTATCTTAGAACTCATACATAGTCACTTCCTCCACACTCTGTTGGCCAAAGCAAGTCATATGGCTGTCCTAGATTCAAGGGGTGAGGAAATAGGAAATAGATTTCACCTCTTGATGGGAGGAGTTTCAAAGTATTCTGGTCAATTTTGTTTTCAGTTTACCACAGATATATTTTGAATACCATGGGAATGTAGAGGTTGGAAGAAAAGATGCATTGTGAGAGTCAGGATGGCCAAAGGAAGGCAATAGGCTAAATGCCAGAGCAAACTCCAGGAGACATTGCCTATGGTCTGTAGTCTGGCCCTCTCTCTACGTTGGAAGTCCAAAAGCTTGGACATATTATTAGTGTCCCAGAGTTGATTCTACCAATTCAGGGTGACTAAATTCGAGAGAGACTGAAACCTATAAAGCCAATTAATTAACATTGAATGAGAGGCATGACCATCAAACCAACTTAACATTCACTTCACCTTCACCAGGGGATTTTCTCTGTGTGGGCAAACCAGAGAGCAGACAATTGTCAGAAGGTTGCTGCGATAACCTGAAAAGAAAGACAGGGATGCTGGATAATGGCAATGGCTAATGGCTTCAGACTAAAAGTTTGGGATATCTCCTCCACAATCGCAATATAGGGCCATTAAGCAGACTAAATGTTTGTATTGATCTTTCAAGGCACCTAATCCCATGGAAAGTGTCATATGGTCATCGCCAATGTTTGTTTTCGAAACTTTATATGTTCCTCTCTCTTTTGCCCCACAAGTCTTCTTTCTTCTCTCTTTCTCCGCCACTGGATCATTTTGAAGCAAATCCCAGATCAGGATGGACTCATCCCTTACGCACAACAAACATAGTGCCGGGGCCCACTATACTTTTAAGAGCCAATGAAAATATTTTAATTGCTTTTAAAACCAGAAGAAAAAAAATGAACTTGTAAAGCTGAATAAGACGTTTTAATTTTTTCTCACTTCAGAAAACAATGACATTTTTAGGATCCCAAAAATCTATTATAGCCGAAGTGTCTAAGACCAACAAAAGTCATGATGTGGCCCTGCCCCAAACATTGTATCATTTCATCCCCAGATATTTCAGTGTATATCTCTAAAAGGTAAGGACCCTTTCTATAAACATAATTGCAAACCCATTGTTATATCTAAAAATATAAACTAAGCTTCCTTCTAATCAAATGTTTTGCCACTATTCACATATGACTGATTGCCTAATTTATGAAAACATTTAGTGTTTTTTTTTAATTAGGATCTAAACAAGGTTCAAGCATTGCACTAGATTGAAATGTCTCTGAAGTCTCTTTTAATCTGTTAGTTGCCTCTTCCTCTTTTTTCTCCCTTGTAATTTACTTATTGAAGAAACAAAGTTGGTTTGTTTTGCAGCATTTCTCACATTCTATATTCCCTACAAACAGTTCTTTGAAACCTGACCAACTTCGGGGTCTCTTTTCTGGCAAGAATGCTTTACAAGTAACGGTGCTCTCTTACGGTGTTAACTGTCGTTGAGGAACATTGCCTAGATTCATTATTTCATTAGGGTTTCCAAAATGGTATTTTTCTGATGCTATCATTTCTTTGTTATTTGTAATTCAGAATCCCTCTGTAAAGAAAGACTTTAATAACTATTTTGTTTGCTGAAGTATGATTTGTACACAAAAGGTAGAATATGGTTTATTTGGCTTTTGTTTTCTTTTTACCAATTTTCAGAATAACAAGTTATTTCTCCATCATCCTCCATGGGTGACTAGTGAGGTCCCTCAATGTTACTAAGAATTCATGGATTTTTTAAAATATACTCAAGTATTTCTTTTGTTATTATATCTTTGAAAACTTGAATTGTCCCATGTTTAACCAGTTGGCTCTTGAGTTCTTTTGATTAAATTTAATAGCGTTTAATAGTTTCCTTGCTTTCTGGTATGAATTTTTAAAGTCATTATTCTTTAAGTTCTTTTTCTCCATAAGTTATATCTCTCTATGGATGGTAACTCATATTTTAAAAATCTTGACTTCTTCTCCATAGTTAACCTCTACACCATAAAACTATCAGGTTCATTTATTTCATTTTGCTTTCAGTTTTTAGGATTTATTTTTACAATTATAATTTTGTTTTATAATTATATAAAATTTTACATGATTCTAAAGTCAAAACTACAAAATAAGGTGTATTCAGGAAAGTTTAGCTCTCGCTCCTGTCTTTCCCAATTTTTACCCTCTCTCTTTACAGGTAATCATTTTTTAGTATATTTTAATACCTGGTAGAGCCAGCCCCTCCCACTTTAGCATTCCTTGTCTTTTTAAGGGTTTTCCTGGATATTTAGCTTGTTTGTTCTTTCTGCTTAGCTTTATAAACAACAAGTACCAGATGAAGAAAAGGAAGCTTGATGGTATTTTTATTGAGATTGCAAAGGAAATATCTTTTAATATCGTCTTTCTATCCCAGAACATGACATTCATTCATGTCCCTCCTTGAATTTTGCAAGAGGGCTTAATGTTTTCTCTTACAGGTTTCGAATGTTTGTTTTTAAGTTTATGCCTAATTTCCTTCTCTCTCTTTCTCTCTCTTTATTTTGCTATTGTAAATTGGGACTTTCATTATACATTCTAACTGTTGTTTGTATACATAAAAGCTATTGAATTGTTTTCTTAAATTACTACTTTATTAAGTTCTATTATTTCTGTTAATTTTTTTTATGTAATTCCAAATATGTAATTGCATCATTTGGAAGTAGATAGTTTTTCCCTACTTACTTAACTAATGGCTCCACTTATTTCTCTTCTTTAGTTGTGTGGACCAATGCATGTTAAGCAGTAGTAGAGAGAGAAGGCATCCTTGTCTTATTCATCACTGTAGTAAAAAACTCTCTAGTGCTTCCCCATGAGTTCCGACAGAGATAAATTTTACTAAGTAATTCTGAAGGTGTCAGAGGTTTAGATTTTTCTAAGCCACATCTACTGAACCTTAAATACCTGTGGTAGCATCAGAGAGGATTCTTATTTGTTGTGGTCACGCAAAGACAGAACTGCAGCCTGCTGACTTGTCTTCTGAACTATGTGAAAGACCTTGCACTACTTCATGAATTGACTTAAATTTATATTTAATATTAACTATTTAATGAAATTATTCATGATTTCCACGGCCTATTTGCGTCTTTGTCCAAATCATACCTCTATTTATTTCTAACCATACTATGAGATAGCTTCCATTGTCTTCATCTTACAGATGAAGAAACTGAGGGTCAGCACCCTATCTAGTCAAATGCCAAATTTAATGCTTTTTATTAAATTGTGCTGCCTCTATTTTGTTTACTAGAAAATAAATCATCCTGATAAAGCATATCCCTTTACTCTGACCCAACCACAAAGTTTATTTGTCATCATTCTTATATTTGAAAGAAACAAGACTTGTCTTTATGTAACATCTTTCATAAAGTCTGAGAAACTACCAATTATTTTACAAACCACTAAGGGGGGGAAATGCCCTCAATTAAACTTATAACACATTGCTTTCTTATCAATCTGTGATTGATAAAAAAGTAAATACATGCCTCATAGTTTCTATGAAATATGGTATTAATCATTTCCTTTGATTTGATAAACATGGTATGAACATATTCTTTAGGAGGCAATGCTGTTATTCAGAATAGCTTCTTCCAACCCTGGCTGGTAGCTCAGTTCGTTAGAGCATTGTCCCAATAGGCCAAGGTTGTGGGTTCGACTCTCAGTCAGGGCACATATAAGAAGCACCCAATGAGTGCATAAATAGGGAGAACAACAAAGTGATGATTCTCTTCCTTCCTCTCTCTCTCAGAATAGGTTCCTCCAGACTGGAGTCTTGAAGAAGAGAGTAAGATGGCACCCTTAGTAAGCATTTATCAACACCCTAATTGTGCCTAGTACTATGGGGAAAATGCCATGCCAAAATAATCTAGGCAAACACCATATAAGTACCCTGAGGCCAGTTCCTAATGAGAGAAGAAGATAGGGTGCCTAATAAACTCTGTGAAGAATGTCTTCAAGCTACCTGTGTGGTTTGAGTTCTCCTTCTCTAATCCTCTCTCCACAGAGTTCATCAGGCATCCTCTGAGTATGGTTGGTAGAAGCTAGTTGCCTTGAAGAGGGATCTGTGGTGATGGGGACCAGTTGTTTCTGTATCAGCCTGCCCCAGGCTTTATTCAGGAGAGAGGCCCAGGTTGTGGTGGGATAGGCACAAGCAAGACACAGCGGAAGGAAGTAGCTGAAGAGAAGGAGAAGCAGTTCCCCAAAGTCAAAACCAATGTAATAAGGCTCTGGAGTCCATGAAAGGGTAAGGGGTGCAGGTCTAAAGCAACCAAAAAATGACACTTTCACCCACAATATGCCTTGCTCATTCTTGATGCCCTCCCTCTTCTGCAGCC